CCAGGGGCCAGTCCTGCTACACTATGCAAAAGGAAAATGTTGGCTTACAGTATACCAAGAAAGGTATTTCTAACAATGATAGGGAAGTACTAACACCACTAGACAAGGTACTTGAGGCCTCATCCAAAATAACGTGCATCATTTTAGTCACCTGTATTCAAAAAAGATGAATTTAAACAGGAATAGGCCTGGAGAAGGGCAAGTTGGACTGATGAAGGGGATGGAGTTTCTGTCATACGAGAGGAGACTAGAAGAGCTTGGCTTGTTTAGCTTAACAAAGCAAAGGCTCAGATGGGACAGAAAAGAAGTACTGAAGCTAAAGGACATGCTGGCACACAAACAAACAGGTATTAACTGGCCATGAATAAATTAAGGCTGGAAAACAGACGACTTCTAAATAGTAGATGGATGAGGTTCTGGGATAGTCTCCCACAGGAAAAGTGGTAGCAAAAAGCCTAACTACTTTTAAGATGGAGCTTCATCTGTTTATTAAAGGGACTATGGGCACAGACAGAAGTGCAGCTCCCCACCATAACTAAGTGCTTTGCAGGAAGTGCCATGAATTACAGCGATCCCCTGGGCACAACAGATGTTTGGTGCCAAGTCCCAATGGTTGTGGGATTCAGCTACAATTTGGGAGTGGCTGCAAGTCTGCAGCCACTCTCCCCTAGCCCTGCCACTCCCCTCCCTCAGCCCAGGCACTGTCTTCAGAATAGAAGGGGTGGGGGGAAGGGAGCAGAAGGAGCTCAGTCTGGTGGGGTTTCAGTCAGCGCTGGAGGGTGAGGTGGATGGCTTGGAGCCACCTGAGGGGCGTCCAGTGCTGGCTGAAAAAACCTCAGACAGAACTCTGCCCACCCCCATCCCACCCCGGAAGACAGCACCAGGAGCAGGGCTGAGCTGGGATAAATTAATGAAAGCACTCTGCTTTGGAGCACCTTCATCTGAACCCTCACATAATGAAGGCTCAGACTGCCATGGGATCAGGCCCTTTTAAAGTGTGCTGCAACCATGCACGTCTGTAAGGGCATGGCAGTAGAGCACTTTCAAGGGGCCAACTGCATGACAAACAAACTTCTATCTGTGCCTTATATGATGTGATTGCTTGTGATAGGAGAGAACTGGACTTAGTGATCCAGCAGGTCCACTCTAGTCGTATGTCCCTAACTGCCCAGTTTATTCAGTTTGTTGCCAAGGGAAGTACTAAATATACAGCTGATATTTCTCCAGCCCAGATATTATCCCTGGGACTTTTTAGTCATATGCCAGCTCCTGATTCCCATTTGATGATTGATATAACATACAACTTGATAGTGTAGTTACTTATTCTGACAGGTTTCCAGCTGCTGCTTGAACTCCTGAAACTCCCTGAAGACTGCTCTCATTACAAGCTTACACTGAGGGATCTCAACACATTTTAAAACATCTGTGAATAACCTTGACAACATCCTTACATGGTAAATATTACCTCCACTTTACAGATGAGTAAACAAATGTGTGCAGGCCTGCATTAGCATGCGCGTGCGTACACACACACACAATAAGCAACTTGCCCACTTGTCACAGAGGCTAGGTCTACACTTCCAACTCATGTCAGGATGGGTATATCAAGGTTAAGTGCGAGTCTGGTAAGCTGTTACCTGTGACAGACAAACATGCGTCAGCTAACACCCCTTTTCTAGAATAAAAAGATATCCTTTTGCTGGGACAGTTTCCTTTCATTGTGGAAGGCTAGAACAGGAGAGCCTTTGCAGCGTAAACTGAGCAAATCTATGCCAGAGCTAAGCAGTTCCCTTTTCAGGAGTTCTCATTCTCAGTTCTGAATCTTAAGCATGAGACCATCCTGCTTGTTACTGAATACAGTACAAGAGTCGCATGACCAAAATCAAAGCCTTGGGTCAAATCTAGACCTGCTACAGCTCCACTGACTTCAGAGTTAAGCCAGGGATGAATCTGGCCCATTTATTCCAGGAAAAAAAGTTAAGAAACCTAGTAATTCTGAGTAATCTTTGCCTTATACAAGTTGTATTAATATATGAGAAACTGACTAAATAAGGTTCTGATTTTCATCACTCATGAGCCAACCTTTGTCATTTTATCCCTCACTAACATTCTAGTAACACTAAATTCTACATGCGTCTTTTGGCATCTAATTGACCCATCCCATCTGTATGCTAACCTGAATTATGACTTCATTGTTTGCTACAGCATACTGCAGTCTCAGACAAACAGTAGCTTCCCTTAGGCAAGAGAACCATCGACAAACACAACTCTATTGCACTCCTGCATTCTTGACTTGGATCTTCCATTTTCCTTCTTTGTCCATAACCTTAGCATTATCCTTGATCATGATCAAATGTAAAGGTTTGCAGAACTGAACAAGACTTTCCTGAACCAATGTCAAACATAGTATGTCAATCTCTTATTAAATGTTAAGATAAACACCGCCTTATTAATAACCTTTGCTTCAGCTTTGGCATGGTTTGGGAATATAAAACTTAACAGAAGAGTAATCCCAGGCAATCTAAGTCAATATTTATGCTACAGTTGTATTGTATGTAGTGCGATTTACAGCCCTGAAAACTAGTACTTCACATTATGTTTAGAAAATTGTAGGTGTATCAATATTTGCATTCTCATTTGCTTCTTACTACATTAGCATTGATTTGGCACACTGTTGCTACAGCAAAACTATAGCAAGTCACTGAGGGATCCTAACTATGCAAAATAAAACAAGGAAGATAATAGAGAAACTAATACTATGGCAGCCTACACTTTAGGAAATCACAAGAATCATAATGCACACAGAGCAATAAACCAACCAGGAAGGTTTCATTTTGTAGCCATGCTTAGTTTTTGTTTCACAGGGTTTTTGTCCAGCTTCACTGCCTGATCATAGGTAATGCTAAATCACCCTGCCCCCACTTGTCTTAACTGAAGTTATATGCACTTGGCAGGTCTCAGGACTAGATCCTACAATAGTCAATTTCTGCAATCCTCACCTCATGAGTAAAGGTACTTGCTGTGAGCAAGCACTGCTGAAATGACAACTCAGCAACAATAACCTGGCTTGGGCAGTAAAAAGCTCTACACTTAGTATTGTCATTACCACTAACTTCAGCATAAGTAGAAAGATGATGATCTAATTTTAAATTAAAACAAACTATTGGAAGATTTGTTTTCATTTGTTAAAACTCTTTCAAAACTATTTGAAAATGCAAAGTTTTTCATTGTAATGTACAATAAATTTACTCTTACACTGAAATATAAGCCAACTGGAATACTGTTTGTTTGAGCTACAGGTTTCCCTCACTTTTTGCACATACAGAACCTGCATATTCATTCTTATGCAACGACCATTTTTATACCAAAAATTTGTTATATGCGAGGTAAATTCACTCTTATGGGATCAGTGTGGTGGAAGCCCACAATCAGCTGCTTTATGCGGTGCCCTGTGGGAGTGACACACACCAAAATATAGTCTCCTGTGTAGATCTGTGCTCCTCGCTTGTTGTCTGCGATACGTGTTTCTGTAGCTGCCATCCCCATTATGGTAACATTTACCACCACTCTGTGCTTGTGTGTACTGTCTACTGTTGGCAAGTCCAAAATGGTCTGGTAAAAAAGTGGCAGAAATGGGCCTGGGGGTCAGTACAGTTGAGGACCCTCCTGGAACGTATCCCTATTTGCTACATTGTAAAGTGGGTTCCCTTTATGTGAATTCAAGTTATGCACCATTTTCTAGGAACACATGTACAGCATAAATCAAGGAAAACCTGTATTTAATAGCATAATGGCCCTTCTGCACACTAGCAAAATTCTGAAATGTTCTTACCTCATCCAGCTTGGATTGTCTACAGGGGAAAGAAAATGTAAAACCAACTGGTAGTTTTTTGTCCTTGATTTGCTGTTTCTCCATGAAGTCTCCCAGGCATTCAGCAACATGATCAAACAGCTATGTGGAAATGAGTAAAAAATGACAAGTCAGTTTATGAAAAGACATCTCTCACTACACGGGGAACATGATCATTACAAATAATCAATTCAAAACTAAAAAGCCATTTTTTGTGTTTCATTTACACGTACTGGAATACCTTAAAAGTTAAGGCAATATGTATGAACACTTTGCTTCATACATGATGAAAAAAAAAACTGTTCTTTCAGCAATATTCAAATGATTTGTAAAACCATCTCCAGTATATTTTAATACATCTAATAGTAATTTGTTCAGAAAAAAACATCAATTTCTTTTAATACGTAGTTAATATTAAGCAAATGTCAGTACCTAAAAAGAGCTAGTAATTAGGACTTGATACTACAAAGTAAGCTGAGCACTTTGGCTGCAATCCAGGAAGACAACACATGCTTAACTTAAAGCCTGTAAGCAGTCCCAGGAAAGCCAATAGGATGACATGTATTCTTAAAAGCTTTGCTTTTATTGGGACCAGAAAGGTCAGCACTTTGCAGGATCAAACCCGTAATGGATAACTTCTCACTATTTTTATAGCACGAAAAAAAGAGAGAGATTCTTACAGTATTGTACATGCTCCAAGGGACAAATTGTGATGGGAACATTTGCAAACAGGCACATGGTAACGAGCTTTGTGAAATAATTACATCTCCAGTCCCATAGCTCCTTACATGCTATGGAACAACAGTGACAAGCCAACAGAAAGAGCAAAGGCACCACAAGACAAAAATCAGCAAGGCCAGACAACACCTTTCACTGAGTTGGGTTCTTATCCAGTAGTTCAACTCGTCACCCAAAACCATGTCGCTGCCATAGTTCATCGTGGCTTTTTCATTGTGAAAGGTCCCAGAACTCAACTTAGTCCGTACATCCCTGCTCTGTCTTTGACCATAAATATCACTTCTTACCTCATTATGCATTTATGCAGACCTCACAAGGAACACAGCACAGTTTTATATTTCATTTTAAGTACCTATTCAAACATCTGTTTTGTATCTGATCAATTTTTAGAAGGGATTAAATAAACATAAGGTCATGCTGATCATAGAAACATAATAAAGATTTTGGTCACCTGCTGAACCAAATGGGCTGCAGTTCAGGCCCATTGATTGATGCTACCATCTTTTTTTTTTTTTTTTTTTTTTTTTTTTTTTTTTTA